TCTATGTAATATTTAGTACAGACCGACATTTTTATTTTAATGTTTAAATTTTTTTATTATTTACTAAACTTTGAATTGAATTTAGGACCGGTTTTGATCTAACGATAGATTAGCAGCAGTAACCGTGGTGACGTGGCACCATTAGCGTGGGATCACTGTAGCTTAATTATCCGGGCATCACATGTGGCGCTCGGTGCAAATTGCCTTTAACATTACTCCTCCGAATTCAGTCAGGTCGTTACTTGGAACGTGGCTTGTTGGGATAGAGTCCGAAACAGCTAGACAAATTCGCGTAGGAGCATGTGCGTTGTTATGGGCAATTTGGAACTGCAGAAATGATTTGGCTTTTAACAGAATATCAACTATCCATTTTTTGCGGGTGTTATTCCGGGCTTCTGCGCTAATCTGTATGTGGTCCTTACTCACTCCGATGGAGGCCAGGGAGCATTTGGTTACTGGATCTGTCCGGTGGAAGATGGTAGCGCGGGATATCTTCAACCGGTTTGGATGGCGGTCATGTAATAGGATAGGCGATTAGTTTACCTATCTTTCTTTTGCCAGCCGGTTGTGGCTTTTGGGCCTTGTTGCTCTTGGTTTTGTGGCTTTTTGTGAGCCAGCCTTTTATTTGTTTGCAGACTGCAAGACCTTGTTAAACTACTTTATTTATTTATATATGTGGCCGTATGCATCATTCTGATGCAGAGGCCGGAGAATCCCCCCTTTTCCAAAAAAAAAGATGCTTTCAAATGTACGAGCCATATATAGTGCGTTGCACATGACATTTTGAATGATATGGGCCCTTCATACTCTCCACTCTGCTGATTATTGATACCCACATTCTTCTACTGCCGATTTGTCATATCAACTCATTCTTCTCAGAGGAATCACCATTGGTGCTGGAGATGATCAAGCTGAACTGTTGAACGACACTTGAGATGATTGTGCTTTCATATCTGCTACCGCGAATTGTTGGTTGAAGAGGTGATGTGACATTATCTTTTACTACATGCCCATTGTTTTGCTTCTCTCAAATGAAGGGAGGTAGAAGAAGTGCTTAGATAGAGATTTCTTCTGGATCAATAATATTCTTTGCAGTGTGGTACAGAAAATGCAGTGCTAAGCACAATATAGCTGGAGCGTTGAATAATATGACTATTTTGCCTTGTGTGATCTTATTAGCCTTTTCTGTTAGAGCTGTGAAGCACTCCTCCTGGATCTGCACAGCTCATTGTTCATCATGATGATGTGCTCCAATGATGCAATTTATCATGTCAGACTATTTTATACCATTTCTTCAATATCCTTTTGTTGTATAGTTGCATCAGCCACGAGCTGGATTCTTTGCATTTGAGAAAACACAATAACATGAAGGTTTCAATTCAATCTTTAGATATGAACTCATGCTATCATTGTGTGGGTAGAATAATCTCATCTTGCTACTAATCACCTTGAGCCAAAAGCATTACTAGAAACCAAATGTTGCCCATGACTGGTAATCTTGGTAGTACATTGTTCTACTTGTTCTCTCTGTGTTGAGATGCGCAAAGACATGAGAGAACAAGTTTAACTGGCAGAAACTGTTTCCCTAGTGCTGTTTGAAATTGCAGATCTTGCAAATCAGCTGATCGAACACGTCAGGAATTAATCGTGCCGTGTGATGTTGTGTTCAGTGATCTCTATAGATGTTGACCAACTATAACATGCTTCGCAAAATGTACTTCATCCTGTGTGAAATATTGTTAGATGAGAAGAGCATGTTCAAGTTTAATTTCTTTTTGGTTGTCAGTTTGTGCCTTTAATAATTCGTGTAGAACCGATACATTAGGTTTCCGCTTTTCGACAAGACTTAAGGTTTTCTTCAGAGATTCCTATGGCATGTGTGCATACATGATACATGTCACTAAAAAATTTGTCATAATGTGTTTTTTTCCTTTTGGTCTAACACTATGTTAGAGCATCTCCAACAGCCGCGCTAAACTAGTGCTGCGCCGCAAATTCGTCGGTTTTAGCGCGCGCGCAACGCGGTGGGTCGCTCCAGCGGGCGCGCAATAACGGCGCGCGCGCTATACCGAGTTGGGCGCGCTGTCGGAAACGCCACCCCGCGCGGCGTATTTCGGGCGCCTGCTACAGCGCGCGGCACACTCGACAGCTCGCGCCGCACTCTCTCCTTTCCTCCTCCTACG